AGAGAGAGAGGGGGGACAGAGACACAGAGAGAGAGGAGGACAGAGACCCAGAGGGGGGGACAGAGACACAGAGAGAGAGGAGGACAGAGACCCAGAGGTGGGAGGGCAGAGACCCAGAGAAATAGGGGAACAGAGACAGAGAGAGGGGGATAGAGACCCAGAGAGAGAGAGGGACAGAGACCTTGAGAGAGGGGGGACAGGAACCCAGGGTGGGCCGGGGGTACAGAAGCACACAGAGGGGAGGTGGGAAGATGGGGGATCAGCTGCGGGCTCCGGAGGTGAGCAGGATACAGCCCTCAGCCCCATCCCAGCTGGAGGTGGCACAGACCTGGAAGATCTCGAAGCCAGCTATGTCCAGGATGCCGAGGAAGGAGGCGCCCTGGCGCGGGCTGCGGTCCAGGGCACGGTTTAGGCGTAGTACCAGCCAGCGGAAGAGGCGCTCATAAGTGGCCTTGGCCAGGGCCTCCAACGCGAAGTCAGCCTGTGGGCGGGACAGGATGAAAAGTGGGTGGGGCATCTAAGTGGGTGTGGCAAGGAGCAGTGGGCGGGGCAGCTGGGTGGCTCAGGTCACCTCCTAAGTCTCAGCCCCAGCCCAAAAGAGGATGCTAACAACCCACCGTGACTGAACGCATATGGTTGGCGCAAGGGTTAGCAGTTCGATCCCACCCTGCTGCTTGGCAGGAAAAAAAGACTTGGCAATCTGATCCCATAAAGCTGACAACCTAGGAAACCCTATAACGCAGTTCACAAGGAGACAGCCAAGGAACCAAGAAGCTGAGGCAAGAACCTTCCTTCCCTCACCGCTCCACCCCAACCCGGAGCAGACAGAAGGCAGAGAACCTTCCTCTAGAACTGGTGTCCTTCAGTAGGACTTCTCGCCTCCTCAGCTGTGAGAGACTACATTTCTGTTTGTCAACCACCCTTCAGGTCTGGAACGGAACTCACCCCTGTGGCTAATTTTCATTCAAGCAGTAGAAGGGCAGATGGGGGGGAACAACAACGCTACTAAGGTCTGCTCACCATGGAATGGTCAACCATTCAAAATCAAAAGGGCAACGTTTTCTTAAGGACAAAGTTGAGAAGGGATGGGAAGGTAAGTGAAGGGAAAACAGGAACCACCCTGAGGAAGTCAGGTAACTGTTGTTTCATGGAGGGGACTGCAATCATTGAAATGAAACAAAACATAAAACTGATGATCTTGTCTGTAAACCTTCACAATAAAAAGTTAAAAGCTAAAAAAAAAAAAGTCCACTTGTGGAGTTTCTGGGTCAGCAGCGACAGCCGAGAGCAGAGCTAGGGTCTTGGCAGGAGTGTGTGGCGTGGATATGCAGAACAGCAGAGGCTGTTAAAAGGCACAAGACCTGAGCCCAGTTCCTCTCAAGCTTGCCGCCAGCCCCACTTACCTGCTCCTTAGACTGGGCTTTCTGCACATAGTCCCGGCCGACCTTGATGCGGGGAGCTAGCAGGGCACGGGAGAAATCCGTCACCCCTAGGCCCAGGAGGCGGCAGAGTTTCTGCGCAGCTGAGAACAAAAGGCAGGAAGATTGATCAGCGTGGGCATGGAAAGGAGGCTGTCCCCTCACTGGTATGAAATTGTCATAGCGAACCTATATGACAGACTAGAACAGCCCCATAGGGTTTCCTAGGCTGTCATTTTTATGGGAGCAGGTACCCTCAACTTTCTCCAGAGGAGCAGCGGGCTTGAACCGTCAACCTGTCAGTGAGCAGCCTGATGCTTAATTCATGGCACCACCAGGGATCCTTTGCCCACTGGAGGCATTAAAAGTCCTCAAAGTGTGTACGTCCTCTGGCCCAATAATTCTGAGAAGTGGGATTGTCCAAACACAATCCCGGATAGAAGACAGCACTACAAAGATGTTCAAGGAGCGCTGGTAGCTTAGCGGCTACGAGTCGGGTTGCTAACTTCAAGGTCAGCAGTTCGAAACTACCAGCAGTTCTGTGGGAGATAGATGAGGCTTTCTGCTCCCGTAAAGAATTACAGCCTCGGAAATCGTATACAGGGTCGCTATGAGTTGGAACCAATTCCACGGCACATCACCACCACCACAAAGATGTTCTCCATGGTACTGTTTATAATGGAGAAACCCAGGAAACCACATGTGTGCCCAGCAACTGGGGATTGGTTAAAAAAGTCCGATCCAGCCATTGGACAAGGGATCTGCAGTCATTAAAAATTACATAGGAAACTCACTAAAGATGTGTGCCTTCCCACTATATACATACAGAAGGAGTCCTGCTGTAGTACTGTAAGATAAGCCCTGCACTGCTAACCTCAAAGTCAGAGGTTCAAACCCACCAGCTTCTCCTCAAAACCTCATACAGGATTGCCTTGAGTTGGAACTAACTTGACAGTGACAATATATGAATACTTAACAACAATAACAGCATACGTATATGTGTGTGTGTGCATATACTCTGTAAGATAAGCACGGGACTGTGAACAACAAGGTCAGCAGTTCAAGCCCACCAGCCACTCCTTGGGATAAAGGTGAGGCTTTCTGTTCCTGTAAAGATTTACAGCCTCAGAAATCCTATACAGGGTTGTTATGAGTTAGAACCGACTTTATGGAACTTAACAACAATATATAAATAATAAAAGTTATTATAGTAAGAGCCCCCGAGGTGACCAAACTCAGAAACAAGTATTTAAAAGTTAACTGCTTATTCTGTTGAGGGCAATGAAAAACGTTTGGAAATGGATGCTGGTCATGGTTGAATCCATAGTGAATGTAATTAATACCAGACTTGCCCAAGTATAAATGGTTAGAATGGCAAATGTGTGTTTTGACATCACAATCGAATTGAAAAAAAAATTAATTGCTCGTCTACATTATTTAGAAAAAGGGAAGAACTACAAAAAGAAAAAACTCAGCAACAACAAAGAAAAAGTCACCAGCTTGGGCTTGAGAAGAACCCTTCAGAAAATGCAAAATCACTAACATATCTCTAAACAGAGACCCCTTTTCACTTTTACTGTATGATTGAAAATGCTTATAATAAAATATTGGGGAAAGCAAGTTGGAAAATATGAAACAGAAGAAAGTGTGTAATGCAGAAAAAAGAAAACACTCAGTTTACAAAAAATTATGTAATAAATGTTCCATTTTTATCAAGATAAAAAACTGCATGGAAAAATGCCTGGACGTCAAAATATTAATAGATGTTTTTGCAGAAGCAGGGGGGAGCTGGGGGTGGAACTGTGTGGGCGGGTGTGGTTTTTCTTTTTTTGATTTCGAATTAAAATGATAATAAAGATGTTTTCAAGTCTCGCAATTCCAGAGGGAAAACAGCCATGGCAAATCCTCAATGTCAGCAGGAAAGAGAAACATCTGGAAGGGAATATACTAGATAATTTCTGAGAGGTGAGGTTACAAGGATTTAAATTTCTTTCTTTTGGTGCAACTGCAGTTTCTAATTTTCTATGGTGACCTTATATTATTTGAATAGTGAGAATGAAAAAAAAAAAAGATTTATAAAACACAGCACATTTGGTTTAACAGAGCTATGCACTAACATGCCATTCGCAGGAGCGTGTTTAGGGGGCTCTGAGGCTTTGAGTCCTTGAGCGGTGCACAAGGTTAAGCGCTCAGCTACTATGAAGCCACCAAGAGGTGCCTTGAAAGAAAGACCTGATGGTCTGCTTCCCAAAGTTCATAGCCATTGAAACGCTACGGAGTGTAGTTCTCCTTTGGAACACATGGCGGTGTCATGTGTCAGGCTTTGTTATTACTGTTAAGTACCATGGAGTCAGTTCCGACCCATAGCGACCCTGTACAGCGTTTCCGAGGCTGTAAATCTTTACGGGAGCAGAAAGCCTCATCTTTCTCCCACGGAACAGCTGGTAGTTTCGAACTGCTGACCTTGAGGTTAGCAGCCCTATTGGTAACCACTACGCTACCAGAGCTCCTTATGAGTCGGTGGTAGAGGAAAAAGGAAGTCTTTTTTCGTAGGAGGCATACTGGCATCTGTCATGGAATCTGAACTGCCTCTCTGGTTAATGTTAGCAAATGCAGAAAATAAAACGTGGGCTTTCCAATGGAGACCAATTATATTGACAGGCTGTTAGAGCCAGGGGTAGCGGTAGATCAGTGGCAGAAAGTTCATCTTCTGTGTGGGAGACCCAAGTTTGATTCCCAGCCAATCAATGCCCCTCACGCATTGCCGCCACCACGCCTTCGGCTTGTGGCAGCATCACTCCAATCTCTGGCCCCATCTGGCTTCCCTCTGAGTGTGTGTCTGTGTCTCTTTTCCTTGTCTTCACGACCATCCTAATGACCTCATCTGAATTAACAACATCGAAGCAGTTCAGTCATGATCAACAAAGCAGACACACAATACCACTGCCGTGGAGACAATCATAATGTCTGGTACCAACCAAGGCTTTGTCTGAAGGCTTTTTTCTTGTTAATTGCCATCGAGTCGGTTCCAAGCCATAGCGACCCTGTATAGGGTTTCCGAGGAGAAGCTGGTCAGCTTGAACCACCGACTTTGCAGTTCAAATGGCTTTGCAGTCTGGCGCGTTAACCCACAGCGCCACATCAAGACTCCTGTAACAGGGTCACTAAGAGTTGGAACCGACTCCACGGCACATAACAACAAAAACAACATTAGAGTGTAAATGTATGTAAATAACACTATACATTCCCTCTTAACCTTTAATGGACTGCTTGGACCACTAACTGCTTCTGTCTTCTTTTTCTCAATTGTTTCCCATCAGCAGCTTCAGACCCCATGCATACAGAGGGCCAACTCTAATTTTCTGCCTTTCCAAAACAGAATTATAGCCAATGTTCCCTTTGTAAATGAAACTGGAAAAAGCTGTGCTCCTCTATGATTATAAAATAATACAGGCTGGATAGAAAAGAGAAAAAAGAAATCATACACGCCAGAAAAGTATAAAGGCAGGAAAATTACCCATCAGCACACTCCCTGGAGATAATTAGCGTGAACATTTGTAGGTGTTTTCCTCTGGGTTTTTGTTCTGTGCTTGGGGAAATGTGGATCTACATTGTCAAGGAAATGGAGTTGCACTCCCCACCCCACTCCCCTTGGTATGAGAGAGGCTTTCTGTCCTGATTATAAAATGATAAGGGCTCATTTTTCAAAAGCCATGCAATAGAAAACAAGAGGATAGGGGCTATTACCCACAATGCTGCTGAGCAATAAAATCACTTGCTCAATTCTGGGTTCTGGTCACACACATGACAGGTACTCTGTATGCACTCCTTTGTTTACAAACCTGGAGTCAGCAAAGTGCTTTGAAAGCTGTTTTTCCCCTCCTCAAGGTGACTACCTGGGAGTTCTGGTGTGATGCTGTAGGATAAGCACTGGACTGTTAATCACAAGATCAGCTGATTTAAACCCACCAGTCGCTCCTTAGAAACCCTATACAGGGTCGCTATGAGTTGGAAGGGACTCATCAGCACTTAACAACAACAATTAGAAGTCTGAGGAATCCTGGACTCCCGGTGTGGCGCTGTAGGATCAGCATTGGCTTATGAACCGAACCTCAAGGATGGCAGTTCAAACCCACTAGCTGCTCCTTGGAAACACCACACAGGGTCACTATGAGCCAGAACAGACTCAATAACACTTAACAACAAAGGAGTCTTACTGGTACAGTCGTTAAGTGCTTGGCTGCAAACCAAGGTCAGGGGTTCGAGCCCACCAGTTTCTCCATGGAAGAAAGATGAGGCCATCTGTTTCTGTAAAGATTTACAGTCTTGGAAACCCTAAAGGGGTAGCTTACTCAGTCCTATAGGCCACTCTGAGTTGGAAATTTACTTTTTTAAACTCATTTAATTAGAACTCTACTAGGGTGTCTTCATCTGGGTCCTGTGGTGGTGGTTGTTAAGTATCACAGAGTTGGTTCCGACTCATAGCGACCCTGTACAGGGTTTCCAAGGCTGTAAATCTTTACGGGAGCAGAAAGCCTCACCTTTCTCCCGCGGAACTACTGGTAGTTTCGAACTGCTCACCTTGAGGTTGGCAGCCCGACTCATAACCACTATATCACCAGAGCTCCTTGTAGTTAGAACTATGCTATTGTTAGTTGGGGTTGAGTGGCCCCCCAGACTCATGCACAATAGAACAAAACAGTCTGGCCCTGAGCTCATAGTGTTTTCAGTGGCTGATTTTAAAAAGTAGATTGCCAGGTCTTTCTTCCTAGTCTGTATTAGTCTGGAAGTTACCCAGAAACTTATTCAACATCCTCACACCATACACACACATCCAGAGCTGTGCATGAGGTGCACTGGCTGGGCATCGAACCTGGGTCTCCTACAGGGAAGGCAAGGAGTCTACGAGTGTTAGACATGGTTGTCTTGGAAGGCCTGCAATGACGGGGCGCCTTCTTTTCCTCGTTAGCCATACTGGGGCTGCTCAGAGTTTTAAGAGTGTTGTTGCTTAATGTAACCCGGAAACTAATTGTAGGTGTGGCCTGGTGTGGAGGCGGGCCTACGTGGGGCGGGGCAGGAAAGGTAGGAGGGTCAGGCTGCACCTGGGCACCCCCACCACTAGTACCTGTGTTGTCCGGCATGGTGGCTTGATCTGTGTTCCGTTCTTTCTTCAGGATGATATTGCCAAACTGGAGGACGGCCGAGACGATCCGCAACATGGCTGAGGGGGAGCAAAGAGAGGGTCACACAGGGGAGGAAGGGAGGGAGGAAGGGGTGGCGTTTAGGGCAGTGAAACATTCTGGGTGATACTATTTTTCAGAACCCAGACCCTGGCCCTATAACTTATCTAGAGTTCGGGCCCACCCACAACCCAAGCCTCGCCCCCAGGAGACATCCACATCTCATGTCCTGCCTCCACACTCTGATATTCTGGACCATGACATTACATCTGTGTCAAAGCCCACAGAAACTGCCCCTTTCCCTCCCTCTCACCCCTTTGTTGTTGTTGTTAAGTGCCATCGAGTTAGTTTCGACTCATAGTGACCCTGTATAGGGTTTCTAAGAAGCAACTGGTGAGCTTGAACTGCTGACCTTATGGTGGTGTTCTTGTTAAGTGCCACTGAGTTGGTTCTGACCCATAGCGACTCTGTATAGGGTTTCTAAGGAGCGACTGGTGAGCTTGAACTGCCCACCTTGCAGTTCAAATGGCTTTGCAGTCTGG